GACATTAAGTTGCTCTGAGCGTTTCCTGCTCCAGTCGCAATCATCTGTCTGGAACGTAGATGGAGTATTGTAGAGATTCCATTTATCCGGAGCAGTCAAGCAAAAATGATCAAATTTGCTTCATACGCACAAAAACATTTGTCACCCTCCAGTTATCAGTGTCTCTTTAATTCGCCGCTTTCGGGAAACGTGCAGGAATTCGCGATTACTGTAGTGGCCACAGAGATACCGTTTTGTCCTTCGATGAAAGTCGATTAAACACTTGTCCTAGGATTAATGCTATATTCTGAGTGAGTGAGTGAGTGAGTGTCGTGTATGTGAGTGTGGCACGGTCGTGACCGTTGACCGTTCGATTTCTAAACACCATCGGCCACCAGACGTACCTTTGGCTGGAGATAGAATTTCGACCTTGTCTTCAGTTTACGGTGCACACACGGCGCGGGATCCGGTCCAGCTGTCAAGTACAAATTTGAAAAATTTGGCCCGAGGCGCAGTGCAAAAGCAACCACGTCTTGGACAACGAAGTTGTTGGCCTCGATGTATTATTACAACGGCATGATGGGCGACCTTGGCGAGTCACACGGTGGCGGTGGCGGTGGCGGTGATTCTCGTCCGCTCACCGTCTCCGGAGGTTTTTCCGCAAAACAAAGGCAGTCACTTGTTGTTTTTCTTCTTGCAGTCGGTTCTTGTGCTGCTGCCTAGCTCTGACTTGATGTCGCCTGGCGCTCGGCTGTCTCGGCAGCTGGATGACCGACCGACCGACCGGACCGGACTGGACCGGACGAACAGCAGGCCGGCCGTGGCACTTATTTTCGCCTCTGTCGTGGCGGCGGCGGCAAACCGGTAGCCGGCCCGGTCGAAAACAGGCTTAGCCCCTGGCTATGGACCACTAAGGGCATGTCGAAGCGTGACATGCAATGGAGCGCGGACCGGCGGCGGTGCGTTTATCTGCTGCCAATCTGGAACACCGCCGTGTCCTGTTCTGGCCTGTCCTTCCGCGTCGTCGTCCTCGTCGGTGATTCGACGGCGAGCGGCAGCGGCGGCGGCGGCGGCGGCGGCGGCGGGTCAGGTGTGCACATGTCACTACC